AGTAAAAAAAAAATTTGAACAAACGATGAGAGACTACTGCGTAAAAAGTATATCTATGCTACATATCTGTATCTAATGCTTACACTTAACTTTGACATTTGTCCAAGATTAGATCTCAAAAACCTGTCAACGTGCCGTTAATTTTGATTTAATAATTTATTTTACCAACAAAGATGTTCATTTGAATAAAAACAACAAGAAATTCTATAGATTTTAAAGTCAAGTAAATATATTATGTATGTTCCCAAAGCCAACATTTCATTCAATGATACTTATTAAATATTTCTATAAAACGTACAAGTATGTTTTTAAAACAGCTCCACTAAGTTTCGAATGACAGGCAGGGGCTGGCACGCATAACTCAACATGACGTGTCCTAATCCACGATATAAACATTCCTACGTGGATTTGTTCACGAGATCGAAAAGAAAAAAATTTTTCGCTAGAGAATCTCTGATAGCGAAAAATAATTAAAAATTTTTTATTTTTATTCATTGATCTGATAATATTGAGCACGTCATTTAATCCGGTCTTTCATTTTACTGTTACTCTTTTTTCAGTGTAAATTCAACAGAGGTATTTGAACTTCCACACGTCAATCTATGTTAATAAACGTTTGAGAAATAACTATAAGTCAAGTCATCATCCAGAATTTCATCAGTGTTATTGAATTCCCCAAATTGTGATGAAAAAAAAAAAAAAAAAAAAATCATAATTACACGAAGGCCTCAGGACGTAAAAATTCTTGTCAGATTAAATGTGCTTATATAAGTGTGAGAAATTTGTGCTTGTTGGTTCCAAACGTTAAAAAAAATTAGTCTAGCAGGACTATCGGAATAATTAATAATTGACTAACACAGTTTATTTAAAAATGTTTATTAAAGCTATCTGATACTTATTGTTTAAAAAAGAGAACATTATCACACTTTAATTTCCAGTGTAATTGATTATACTTTTTTATGGTAAGAAATTTAACTAAGAAGTAATGACTAGATTCTACGCATTAAAACCTTAAAAAAAATTTCAATTTAAAGGAAAATTTTTATTCACAATGAAGAAACTATTATTCTTTTTTATATGCATAATGGATTTCCATAGCTAAAAATTAAAAAAAACTGCATATTTACATAATCATTAACCGTAAAGTTGTGCAATTGTTGGTTTCATTAAATACGAACAAAAATCTTTCATTCAGTATTTTGTCCACTAGGATTAAAAAAATTAGGACCAGACAACAAACAGCATCGGTCCGAAACTAGTAATATTATTATTATTACTGCTGCACTACTGATCTTCTCTCCTGTGATTCTCTTCTTTTTTATACTCGCGATACGTGAATGTTCTGACTTGTTTTTGCGTATTTTTTACACCCTTCACCAGTTGCTGCTAGATTTCTATACCTTGGTATTTTTTACAATAAGATATGCAGTTTTAAAAAACTGTGCATGGAGTCACTTGCAAGCGAATTAAAAATTTCATGCCTCATAACGTTCATCGAAGGTTTTCGTATGAATATTGATTTGTTAAAATGATGATTAACTGCCCATAAACAAGGTCATCGAGGAAATCTCGTATAAATCATGTGTCTCTGACGTAACGATGCTGCAACACTCTTTCATTGCTTATCCGCGAATTAATGATCGCGTTTGTACAGTCGAGCGAAAAGTAAACTAATAATTTATCGGTGCGCGTGGCAACATCCATACGGCATATTAATTACGCGTTGGCGCGTTAAAAGTGCCGGTGTTATCTCAATGACGCATTTCAGCTTCCGCACTTGAGTGCACGTATACCGACTCGCATCTTCAGTGTCGAGCAGCAACAGAAAAGCTTCTTGATTCCTGTTTATCATGTGTGTATCAACTGATCATTCAAGCACTGGTTGAAGAACACAAAGGCAATTTCAACTTAGGTGGTGTAGTTGAAAAACTATAAAATGTAGTTGGAGTTACAGAAAATTGGGGGAAAAATGAAAAAAAGGCAATAAATATAAAAACCATTTTGTTTTATTTTTCGTGAAACAGTATTAACATTAAATTAAACATACGCAAGTTAACGTTCGTAACAGTTCTTTTTCTCGTCGTTTTTTTTTTTTTTTCTTCGCATAACAAAATGTGTATCACTTGCTGATAATACACTCGCACGGCGTATCGAAGATCGTTTTAATACCCAAGAGAGCTTTTTTTCATCACCATGAAAAAAGCTCCCAAATAATGACAAAAATTCAAACCTTTGTATTGAAGAGGCGTAAGAAAGAATTTTTTTTTTTTATTTAGCAGCTACATCTCGCAGTAAAAAAAAATAAAATCCAGTGCAACACATACTATACGTGTGTGTATATATGATATCGTTTTTTCTACTATACGTAGCGTATGAAAAAAGGAACTTTGGCTGAAATAATGACATTTACGCCTCTCATTAATTAATCTTCATTTTTATAGATCTCATTGAACTGTCCTACTGTGTTTCGTCGTACACGTCATAGGTTCATCATGGGTTTTTTGTTTTTTTTTCTTTGACACACTGATTCGTACGTTTCTCTTACGTTTGTTATCTTCGCCTATAGTCTAATTTAATCGCACGGTATTTCTAAAGTGCCTCTGTATTGATGATAGCTTACAATATACAACTATGCAATAATCAACAAATTCATACAAAGAGTGTTTGCTCAACTTTTGTTTTTACTCATCTCCGTAGCAGCACGTAATGGTATTATTAATTTAATTAAATTAAACCTACCGAATTAAAATTATAATTATGAAAACGTAGCGTTACTCCTCTATAACATAAAATTGACTTCTTAAAAATTTAACAAACACTCAGTGCATTGTGTCAAAAACAATACGAGAATTGAGCTCCTATGGTCATAATATACGCGAAGCTTGGCTTATCCATTAAAAATGTGATCTTTAGTCAATAAACTTTTTTTTTTCCTTTGACTGATTGTTAAAATCATACGATATCGTTTAATTGTACAGGACTCTGTATACATAATGATTAACAAAATTTTATAAATAACGCAAGACTTACGTAATTGATTAATTTATTAGGCAAATCATAGTGGTGCACAATATAAGTGCGTATAAAATCTGAGTGTGTATAATATATAGTATCTATTATGCTTCACTATAAATTGTGTATGTAATTTTTGCGCCGTATAAAGGTTTTGGTTATATCATCATATTATATACTTACTCTGTGTTTTTATATGTATATGTATATATATGCATGATGTGGGATGTCGCTGGGGTTGAGGAACACATTAATTTTCCTATACTTGTATGATTTTATTACTCACAAAGTTTGGGGCATTTGCCTGAATCTAATAATTTTGTCAATTAATTTCATGGCTTTCATAGTAATACTATATTTTATATAATCGAATGATAATTTGAAGCGCCACTGCAATAAGAAATTGGATAATTGTCGATTACAGTTTGTCATCGAAAAATTGACGTCGATCACCAGTATATATTTGTAAACCATAGAAAAAAAAACTTTCATCAACAATTTGTAAATTTAAAAATGTATGATATAAAAATGGCATACCTTAAATTATCGCGGTGCCTTACATTGGACAAGTGCATTTCTTACCTAGTCTTATGATACCTATATGTATATCCTATACATTACACGTAAATTCGTTACACTAGTTTAATAAAAAAAGAACTTGGAAGAGCTTTTGTCGATAATACCGTATCTATAGTTTAACGATTCCTTGTTGACATTTTTAGAAAATTTCCAGCTCGCGCACATTTTTTTTGTGTGAGATACTTGACTGCTAGCTTTCCAATCAATCGTTTATTGTCTCTACTATACGTGTAAGTACACGCAAATAAATTATAAGAATTGAATCATAGCGTTCATTTTTTAATCTGAATTCGCGTGTGATGTATATACTTTCTGTGGCTTTTAATGTCACCACTTGTATGACAAAGGCGAGGAGAATAAGTAATGATCAAATTTTCATCGCGAAAGCCAACACGTTGAGGTTTTCATTTTTCGATACTCATTTAGGTACGATAAATAATTAGTATATTATTACGTATTTTGCCAATAAGAGCACGCAATTTGTGAATTTGAGATCACTCTTTTATAAATTATTTTTCAAAGGTAACCAAAGACTCGTAATACTAATAATTATATATATA